GACCAGGTTTGCTGGTCCAATAGAGCCTGGTGGAACCACTGAGACTATGGCCCCAGTTGCCCTTCAGGTCTGGAATTGAACCCACAACTGACTTGATGGCAGTGAGTTTGGTTTTGGCCCTCAACAAGATGGACTGACAAAGTGCCTACAATGATGGGCTCAGGTATAGGGAAGATCGTGGGGCTGGCACAGGACTGGGCAGTGTTTCATTCTGATGTACATAAGGTTGTTATGAGTTGGAGACAACTCGACGGCACCTAACACCACCACCAGCATTGCACCAATGGAACTTTTTTTTACCATAATACGTAAAGTATAATGTTTTGTCCTATTTTCTATATTAAATTTAAGAGGCTTATGCATAGACACTATGCACTATTTAAGTTTACCTCCACTAAAACAGCTGGCAAACAGCTCTATACAGAGCAACTGTTCAATAAATAAACACATGAGTTGAAAAAAATGTATTAAAAACAAAACAGAGAAATGCCATAGTACTCAGAAAAAGTAAACCACAGAGATTTGATTAATTTAAACTCAAATCATATTTGGGATAGACAAACACTCATATCTTAGGTATAAACATTTTAATATGAGTGAAAAAGCTACTAGGAGCTCTGGGGGGCACTGTAGTTAAAAGCATTTGACTGTTAACCCAAAGTTCGGTGGTTTGAACCCACCAGGCACTCCACGAGAAAAAGATGAAGCAGTCTGCTTCCATAAAGATTGACAGCCTTGGAAATCCTGTAAGTCAGTTCTACTCCTTCCTATTAGGTTTGCTGTAAGTTGAAACTGACTCAATGGCAGTGGGTTTGGTTTTGGAGTAAGTAAACTGCTAAGCTGTCCAATACAGTAGCCACTAGCTGGTTGTGGCTATTTAGTTCTTTGGTTGTACTACTCACATTTAAAGTACTCAATGCACTTGACAATAAAGAACATATATAGAAAATTTCCATCAGAAATTCTACTGGACAATGCTGAAGTAAGGATTTCATATGATATAAAATACCAAAACCAAAACCAAACTCACTGCCATCAAGTCAATTTCAATTCATAGTGACCTCCATTGGGTTTTCAAGTCTGTAAATCTTTACAGAAGCAGACTATCCTCTTTCTTCTGTGGAGCAGTTGGTGGGTTCAAAGCACTCACCTTTTGGTTAGCAGCCAAATTCCTTAACCACTATACCACCAGACTCTTTATAAAACTACCAGCAATTAAAAAAAAAAATAGATATAACTTTTATACTATTTTGTAACTTAAGTTTGCCTAAAAATACTTACCTAGTGAAATTGTTATCATGTTTACAGAATAGTTGGAAGGCCACACCAATTGAAACAGATGTCTTCCAGTCTCCAAGTTTATGTGCCAACCACACAGCCTCAGGAACTAGGCCACCAATAAGTAATAATTCAAGTGCATATTCAACTGTCCACACATTAGAGAGATTCTGCTCTCTAACAACACTGGCCACCTTAGAGTGTTGCAGAGGAATAAGTCGAAGGGACTGGTCTGTGAGTAAATTTAAAAAAATGTATATTACATTTACATATATCAGAGCTCAGGATTTTAAGTAATTAGAACGTCCCCCTAAAATGAGTACTTTTATCTCTTTAATTGACTATTTAGTATTTTCTACGTAAGCCACAAAATGAAGATATATATAAAATATGTTCTTAAAATAATACTCAACATAGTCTAGAACAGTTTTTTGGTGGTTTTTTTTTTTTTTTTCCACTGAAGAATGTGCTTCATTAGTACATCTTGGAACAAAAGCCAGCATTTTTTAAAATGAAATAGAATAAAGTATTAAAAGAAAATCTTAGAGTATATTATACAAAATAAAGGTAAATATTATTTAATGAAACTCTTGTTCAGGTAACATGTACATACATATAGACATTTATACGTACTGGGCCATCATGTATGATTTATTACTGTGGGTGGCTCTGAAACACGTGCCTATATCTCACGCTGCTTTGAAGCAGTCCAAGTGGTAAAGATAGTACTCCTCCCCTATCCACATCCTGAGACAATCACAGAACATAAGAGTTTAAAAACATAATTCAAATGCCATGGTTCTATGACTGAATAAATTTGCTAACCACTTGTGGCTACCTCTATTAAACTTCTAATTAGGTTTGTGTTGCATTACCCTAACCTATGTGTTCCTTATACATACTTATCAGTTCATGTTATCTCCTGTCTAGAGCCCTCCAATAACTTCAGATTCCTTACTTGGCTTACATCTTCTGGCCCCTGCCTTTCTGACTTCACCTCATAACACTTCTACCTCACTTTTGATGCTATAGCCACACCTGCCTTTCAGGTCCTCAAACACGTCAAGCTTGTCCTTGTCTTGGACATTTGCACAAGTTCAGCTTAGAATGCTCTAAGCCCTGATGTGCTTATGGCTGACTCTGCTTTGTTATTAAGGGCTCAGCTTAAATAGAAGCTCTTAAAAGAGCTCTTCCCTAGATTCCCAATCGAAAACAGCTACTTGGTCACCACTGCATTACCTGTTTTCATTGTCTGCTTCATTATCACTATCAGATAGTTTTCTTGCTAGTGTATCGTTTACTTAATTTTCTGTCACATCCTAGTAGAACATCAACTCTACAAAAACAGGGACTTTAGTTTTTTTTTTGTTTTCATGGAGTTAGGCTAAATCTGTCATGTCAAAAAAATTTTTAAATGTTTTCTATTGTCAATTTCATACTGTGAAAAGTAATATATTCCCAGTACCTAGAACACTGCCTGGCACATGGCTAGCACCCAATAGAAATCAACAGAAGGAATGAATGCTGTAAAAATTTCCATACATATTTATCTACATGACCCTACTAATGAAATTACTAAATACCAATAGAGCAAATGGTCCAAATAAAATTAAATTCGTTTTCAGAGGTGTAAAATTCATTAAATTTCATATTTTTGTAAGGTGGTAGCCCTTTCACTTTAGAAACAGAAACTATAAATATCAATTTATGACCAAAAAAAAATCTACATTTAAGAAAAACATATCCAAACAATTAACTGTGAGATTCTATTCATTCATAAATAGTCACTGAGCACCTCCTATGTTTCAGGTACAAGTTAGAAGAGTATTTTTGCCGTAGGGTAATAAACATAGCATGCAATAAATGATGAAAATTTTAAATATTACATGCAAAAACAAAGGTGAAAATTTTGTTTACTATGTTACCTGCTTTAATATGAAGTGGAGGAAGAACATTCACATTGTGAGGTGGCAGAATGCAAAGCTGCTTATTGGTGAAATAGGCAGCCATGAACCGGGCCATGGACTGAATAACTTTCACTGCCACTTCAGGATGAACATTTCCAGTCATCTCGAGCTCACAGCGAGACTTCTCAGGAACTGAGGATATGAAGCAAATGCCCAAAAGAGATTCTTACTTAACTATCAGAAAGCAATAATGTTTAAGTTCCTAACATCACAAAAGAAAATTATAATTAAAAATATTTTTTGTGAGATCAACATCCATGGCTTATATAAGCCAAATTATAACTGGTATATATACAGTTCTTATAACATACATGCACACAAGTATATGTATAGAAAGGCCCCACAAAAAGAGGTGAAGTATAAGTGATATATTTCCTGCTTTTCATACTTCGTCTAAGACAAACATGCATTACTTTCATAATGAACACAATTTTGAAAAGACAAAAATCACATAGAGCAAGAAGTTGATAAATAGTAGCTAAAAACATGAAGAATGAAGTTGGCATGGATCCATTTAGAAAATTCTGACACACGAAACCTTTCAGACATAGTCATATGCACAGGTCTAATAGTCTACCACCTTAGAACTGCTGGATTATGTGTTCTTGCATGTTTTTCTTTCCCTCTGGTTATTGCTTCATTTAAATACACATCTTAAAAGGAGGAGAAAGGGAACTCTGGTACCCTAGTGTCTAAAGCACTTGACAGCTAACCAGAAGAATGATGGTTCAAACCCACCAGCCACTCCTCGGAAGGAAGGTTGGGCAATCTACTTCTGTAGTAGTACCACCTCAGAAACCCAAGGAGGGGTTGCTATGAGTTGGATCCAACTTGACAGCACACAACAACAAAAGGGGAAGGTGGGTAACCAGGCATTCTGCAGCCTTTAAGAGATAAAAATTCTCTGAACACCTCAGAAGGTAATTTTCACCATGTTATTAAATAATTTTAAGCAACAGTTAAAGAAAATACAAATACGTTAAAGAAAAATATGTGGGTACTTGATATTCTAACTAATACAGCTGTGAGAAAATAATTGTTTTATCTGCTCAGCCAACAATTCTTGCTAAGCCCTGGGGCTCCAAAAATAAAGAATGCATGTCCCTTGCTATTGAAAGCTGACAGTCTAAAAATCCAACATAATATAATTGAGTCACCACAGAGGCAAAGCAACCAAAATTTATGTATAAGACATTTCACATCTAAATCTATAAAATGCAAATTATAAAACACACTAATTTTTAAAATAGCATACCTGAACAATCTTCAGTTTCTTTTACAGGTAGATGGGACCATCTCAGTATTGCTCTTACAAGCTGATCACACATTCCTTGAGCATCATTTAAATTGTAGTTAAAGAGGTGGCAATATAAGAGAGAAAGATAATAGCGTATCTGAAGAAAACATGTCCTTCTTCCTCCTTCAATAGGAAAGAATTAAGCTTACTTTAAAAACATGTTAGTAAGGTAATATCTGTGATCTGGGTACTAGTTAGATGGGTGTGTCACTATGACTCATTGAAAACACCTATGTGCTGATGAATTTGAAAATTCATCAAGCTGTGTACACTAGTGATATATATATATGTTTTATACTTAACTAAAAGATTTTTTAAAACAGGAAAGTAATATTTTGCTCTTTTCCATTTTGAATTTTGAACAATCTTTTCTTTCACCATGCCCTATGATGACTAAGATGTGGTTCCAAGAAACTGTAAATACTCATCATCTCAGCAATAAGGTCCACCAACAACTTCTCAAGTACATATAGTATAGTATGAAATAAAAGGGAACATCCTACAAAACCCCTAAGGAACCATACATATACCAAATAGACACTCAAAAAAACTTCCTGAAAGAGAACAACTATCCCTGACAGCTGTGTTCAAATATCTGAAGGATATTCAGACAGAGACTGATGGTTGCCTATCCCTTATCCATTCTTTCTAATAGAGTTCCAATTTTATTTGGAGTTACAATGCACTGAGGTCACAAAAGATCAATTTCCAGCTAACTGTGGCCATGTGAAAATGTAACTATGTTTTAATCAAGGGAATACTGTGTGGAGCTTCCAGGAAAGTTGCTTAAAGAGAGGTAACTCAGCTGAGAGGTGTACGATTTCTTGCCCTTCCCCCCTTCCATACGTTGTCTAAAATATGAATTTGACAGCTACTACAGCAACCATCGGGAGCTCTGGTAGCATAGTGGCTAAGGCACTTGACTGCTAATCAGAAGGCTGGCAGTTCAAATCCACCAGCCACTCCTCGGAAGGAAGAT